TCTTGAATGCTTTGCTGCTTAGAAATTTCTTCTGCCAGATACTCTAAATCATCTCCCTCGAGCTCCAAGTTCCACAGATCTCTAGGACAAAGACAAAATGCCATGTTTGCTAAAACATTGCAAGAGTCACCTTTACTTCAGTTCACAATAAGTTTCTGATCTCCATTTGAGACTGTCTCCGCCTGAATTTCATTGTCCATATCATTATCAGCATTTTGGTCAAAGTCATTCAAATCTCTGGAAAGTTCCAAACTTTCCCACATTTTCCTGTTTTTTTTGAGCCCCCCAAAATGGTCCAAACTCTGCCTGTTACCCAGTTCCAAAGTCTCTGCCACATTTTTAGGTATCTTTACAGCAGCACCCCACACTACCAATACCAATTTACTGTATTAATCCATTTTCACACTATGATAAAGACACAACCAAGACTGGGTAATTTATAAAGAAAAAAGAGGCTTGGTGGACTCACAGTTCCATGTGGCTGGGGAGGCAGAAGGTGAAAGACACATCTTACATGGTGGTAGTCAAGAGAGAATGAAAGTCAAGTGAAAGGGGAAACCACTTATAAAGCCACCAGATCTTGTGAGACTTTTCCATTACCACGAGAACAGTATGGGGGAAACCACCCCCATGATCCCATTTTCTCCCACTGGGTTCCTCCCACAACATGTGGGAATTATTAGAGTTACAATTCAATATGAGATTTGGGTGGGGATACAGCCAACGCATATCAAGTGGCTACTATGAAAATAAAAAGGCCAATAAATTGAAAAATCTAGAAGAAATGGACAAATTCCTAGACACATAAAACCTACACAGATTGATCAGAAATAAATGCAAAACCTGAATAGGCCAAAAACAAGTAACAAGATCAAAGTAATAATAAAGTTTTTCAAGAAAAAAAAATACAAAAACCTGGGGCACAGTGACTTCACTGCTGATTTCTACTGGGAACTAATGCCAATTCTACTTAAACTGTTCCAAAACATAGAGGAAGAAGGAATACTTTCAAACTCATTCTCTTTGGCCAGCATTACCCCAATACCAAACTCAGATATCTAAGACACATCAAAAAAAGAAAACTACAGGCTGATATCTCCAATGAATATCAAGACAAAACTGCTCAAAAATTAGCTAAGCAAATTTAATGCTACAGTAAAAAGGTCATTCATTACAATCAAGTGGGATTTATCCCAGAGATGTAAAGATGGTTCAACATATGAAAATCAATCAATATCATACATGTCAACAGAATGAAGGGCAAAAATTATATGACCTTTTCAATTGATGCCAAAAAAGCATTTAATAAAGTTTAACATCACTTCATGATAAGAAAAAAAACCTCAAACATGGGTGTAGAAGGAATATACTTCAACATAATAAAAGCCATATATAACAGAAGTTTATACTAAATGGGGAAAAATCTGAAACCCTTTCCTATAAGATCTGGAACATGACAGGGATGCCTACTTTCACCACTGTTACTCAGTCTAGTATTAGAAGTCCTAACTAAAACAATCAGACAACAGAAAGAAATAAAAGGAATTCACATTGGAAAAGAAATCAAATTATCTTTGTTTGCAGATGATGTGACCTTATTTGGAAAAATCTAAAGTCTTCACCAAAAAAAAAAAAAAAAAAAAAGGAAAGATAGTCCATGTTCCTGGATTGCAATAATCGATAATGTTAAAATGTCTAATCTATAGATTCACTGCAATCTCTGGCGTAATACCAATGACATTCCATGCATAAATGCAAAAACATACGTACAAAGTTATAGTAACCAAACAGCATGGTACTGACATAAAAACAGACATATAGGCCAATGGCACAGAATAGAGAACCCAGAAACAAATTCACACACCTACAGTGAACTCATTTTCAACAAAGGTGCCAAGAACTTACAATGGGGAAAAGACAGTCTCTTCTGTAAATGGTACTGGAAAAGCTGTATATTCATATGCAGAAGAATGAAACTTGATCCCTATCTCTCACAAAAAACAAATTACAATGAATTTAGTACTTAAATCTAAGACCTCAAACTATGAAATTACTGCAAGAAAATATTGAAGAAAACCTCCAGGACATAGGCCCAGGTAAAAATTTCTTGAGCAGACCGGGCGCAGTGGCTCACGCCTGTAATCCCAGCACTTTGGGAGGCTGAGGCTGGTGGATCACAAGGTCAAGAGATCAAGACCATCCTGGTCGAAATGGTGAAACCCCGTATCTACTAAAGATACAAAAAATTAGCTGGGCATGGTGGCATGTGCCTGTAATCCCAGCTACTCGGGAGGCTGAGGTAGGAGAATTGCCTGAAGCCAGAAGGCTGAGGTTGCAGTGAGCAGAGATCGCGCCATTGCACTGCAGCCTGGGTAACAAGAGCGAAACTCCGTCTCAAAAAAAAAAAAAAAAAATTCTTGAGCAATACCCCTACAAACACAGGCAACCAAAGCAAAACGGATAGGAGATCACATTAAGACCAAAAAAAAAAGGCTTCTGTAAAGCAAAGGAAGCAGTTAACAAAGGGAAAAGAAATAGAGAATATTTGCAAAATTATCTATCCTGACTGGGTATTAATAACCAAAATATATGAAGCTCAAACAACTCTATAAGAAAAAGTCTAATAACCTGATCAAAAAATTGGCAAAGATTTGAATAGAAATTTTTTAAAAGAAGACATATGAGGCCGGGCGCGGTGGCTCACGCCTGTAATCCCAGCACTTTGGGAGGCCGAGGCGGGTGGATCACGAGGTCAACAGATCGAGACCATCCTGGTCAACAAGGTGAAACCCTGTCTCTACTAAAAATACAAAAATTAGTTGGGCATGGTGGTGCGCTCCTGTAGTCCCAGCTACTCAGGAGGCTGAGGCAGGAGAATTGCCTGAACGCAGGAGGCGGAGGTTGCGGTGAGCCGAGATCGCTCCATTGCACTCCAGCCTGGGTAACAAGAGCTAAACTCTGAAACTCCGTCTCAAAAAAAAAAAAAAAGAAGACATACGAATGGCAAACCCAAAAGTGCTTGGGTCTCTTAACATTTTAACTTAAAACAAGTTAAATGTTCATCATTTGTCTGTCTTTTAATGCAGGCATGAGGGCTTTTCTTAAATTACCTTGTTTTTCAATACTAGATTAAAAGTCTCTGAGAGTAGTTCTGATTTTAATTACATATATTCTAAAGCATATCTACTAGAATATGTACATATATTCTAAAGTATATCTACTGGCAGTACTTTTTCTGTTTCTATAATTTAGTCAATTATTGTATTAGTATTTGTAACCTACACTTGATCTTTCTTTGAATTTTCCAAGATATATGAATTATTTGCATTTCAGAAAGACTATTAGAATAAAAACTGCAAAAGTGGCTAGCGATAACCATACTTACTTACACGTCTCCCTTTTAAAGGCGATAACATCTCAAAAATAAATAGGGGATAATTATGGAAATGAAATTTTCTCAGTGCAGGTGGAGGAAAGCTGGAACATTTTACCACTAGTGAAATTTCTGGTGATTTAGTAAGAACAGTTAAGACATATTTTATTATATGTTTTATCAGATAGAGTCATTTTTTGATTTTCAGGTAATCTTCCCGAGCTTTCAGAGATGCTGAAAACAGAAGAGATACTAAAACTAATTAGGGGGAATATTAATATTTTCCCTAAAACTAATCAATGGATTTTAGGAGAAAAAGCTAGTAAATACAGGCATTTTAATATTAATGATTATTCAGCATATCTAGATGAGTGTTTTTACAGTTTTTGACTCTTTTTTTTCTTAAATTGCTTTGCTTCACTATTATGCCATTGCCATTACTCCTCGTTGATATTTTGCCTCATATTAATGTATACTACTATCTGTTAGCAAGCAGCAGTTCCACAATTAAGCTCAGGGGATCTGAAAAGTGAGCTTTTTATTGTGGGTACAGTGAACATGAAGTAGAGGTTTCTTTATTTTTTTAATTATACTGGTTCATAGAAGACTAGAAATTAAGTAATATATATATTAAGTATTATATATATTTAAGAATTTTCCAAATTGAGCATGTTTTGAAGAAAAATATGGTTTATTACTTTCCTTGTCCATTCTAATTCTAAATCTAATATTCTTTCTACTTAAAATGTTTAAATGTAGGTTCCTTGTTAACCAATTTGTTAATCCCTGGTGGACATAAATGCTTACCTGCCTTTAGTATTTCATGCTAATGCCTAATATTTCCTAATGTACAATGTTAAAAATCAACCCAAATAACTTTCTTTAACTCTTAAGAGGTTTATCATCAACATTATAATCTCTAGATCTGAATAGTCCACCTGGTAACTGATAATCAGTGCCAGAGTCTAGAACATACCTCTCAGATCACCTTTTTTCTCTGATGTTAAGATAAACTTAATACCTGCCTGTGCTTTTAGGCTGATTGACATGCCTGCTTAAATCACATGGTTCTCTTTTCCTTTAAAAAATGGCAAGATTCCCTCTGTACCCTCATGCATATTCATGCTGTCGAAAGGAAAGATCATGAAGTCTCTTCTTATCTGGGTGTATTGTCAAAACAGGGAAAAACAGGACTCTGACAGGCAGCCGCCGAAGTTGCTTATTGCATTTAATTAGAGTGACATTGTTCTGGACTTTGAAGCAAAAGCCTAGATATGTGTCCTCTCTTACTACTTAATAAATCGTAGCTTAAACAAGTCATAGAACTTGCACTTTAGTCTTCTCAACTGTAAATTATAGAAAATGTTTCTTAGTTCACAGAATGGTTTGCGAGGATGACATAATGTAAATATGAATTTTATAAACTCTAAAGCTCTAGTAAAAGTATGAAATGTAATTTTTTTTTCTTCTTTGGGACAAGTTATAACAATGTCTAAATGCTCTTTATCCATGTTTGCCCTTCTGCATGTTTAGGGTACATTGTTAAAAGGTGAAAAAGTTATCATGCTTTTTTTGTGAAGGAAAAAAATACCAGAATTTAAAAAATTTATTTTATTTTCTGTTTTAGCTATCGACTTCAATATTATAAAGATTTTAAACAGCCCAAGAGCATTTACATTGCCTACACCCAAGGAAGAATCAGGATTATTGAGACTAGCAACAAAGGTTTGGAGTATAATAACTATTACAAAAAAAATCTTACTTGTTTAATTTGCAATATAATTGCTATTGACTGCTGTACATGGACAATCCTGGTTATTACATTCTTAACATATATCTTAGAAAAGAATTTAATGGTTAAAAGAGATTCATTTGAGGGGTTAATCCTAATATTAAAAAGGTTTGTTTTCTTCTGAAAATATCCCCATCTCTAATGAAAATATGATATTTATCTTTTTTTCTTACAACATGTCTTGTCACTGCTTCTCCTTGGGTTGACATACAAAGATTCCATCTGCTGTTTGCACATGAATATGATCTCAATAACCAGCAAAGTTTCAGGGAAAACTTCAAAGGAGTATCAGCAATAGTTAACCTGTCCTTATTTCTTAAGCCACAGTCCTGGAATAATTGACCACATGTACTTACTGTTACTCTTGAGTCTTGAATGCTCAGCCTTTCGACATTCTTGAAGGTGCTTTGCAAGTAGAGATTTCATGGACTCACCACCATGTGTTGCCTTAGCCAAAATTTGATGAGATTATTGACCTGAAATTCTGAATTTGATTTCTTAATTTGTTAGACAGTTCAGTTTTAAGTCTGTTACAGTCTTTATTGCTAATATGTTTTCCAAATTATCTTATCTAAGATAATTTATTTGAAATTTAAAATTATGCCTATGTAAAAACCACTTTCTGCAAATCAGTATTTATGTTTTCCCAGTAGTTAATAATCCAGGTTTAATAAAATATCTTTCTACTTTATTCCGACCTTCACAGTAAGGCCAAGGTTGGTTGCAGCACTTCAGATATTAAGTGGTGATGTATAGAAGTCTATTTTGAATCGATGAGAATGTCACATCATTTCCTTTGGGGCAATATTGCCAGATTTAGAAATCAGAGATAAATAATAGAAATTGTATATCTGATCTAAACCCTAAAAATGGTCTCTTGTACTTTGTTTAGTAGTTAACACATGGGTTTGTAACAGACTAAACAACCTTTTACAGAGCATGCTAGTAACAGATAGGAATTGGAGATACATCTTTAGAAGTATAGCACATTGCTGCATTTTTTTGTCCTGTCCCATTGTATTGGTCAGCTTGGACTGCCATAACAAAATATCATGAACTGGGTAGCTTACACAACAGAAATTCATTTCTCACAGATCTGGAGGATGGGAAGTCCAAGATCAAAAAGCCAGCCCATTTGGTTTCTGGTGAAGGCTCTCTTCCTGTCTTGCAGATGGCCTCTTTCTTGTTGTGTCCCCATAAGGCAGAGAGGGTGAACTCTGGTCTCTTCTTCTTATAAGGACTCCAGTCCCATCATTGACAACCTCATTTAAACCTAATTACAAAGAGCTCTGAAATCATATTGCTTGAGCAACAGCTAAACTATTTATGAATATTTCTTTTGGAAGGAAAAGACTCGGAAGGCCATAATAACTGTTTTCAAATATGTAATGACCTAGGAATAGGAAAGCAGAATTAAAGTTTTTCTGTGTGGCTCCAAAAAAAAGTATAACTTTTGCCAATAAATAAGTGAAAGCTGCTGGGATATAGATTTCAGCTCAACATAAGGAATTTTCCACGCAAAAAAGTTGTCCAAATGCTGAATGGTTGCCTGTGGTTTTCTAGTCCCTGAAAGTGACATTGAGTATGAACACTGGCAGAGCACAGATTCAAACCTCAAAAGTCAAAGTTTAGCTTCCTTGTCATTGTAGCAATTATCCTTTAATAAATTAACAGAGAAATTAGAAACCAAAATTACCCCTTTGAATTTCTAGTTTATCCTTATTCCAAAGCTTATGGAGTTGCTTGATTCTTCGAATTTAGGGCTAGGTTGACTTGACAATGAAAGTCTTATTTATAGAATCTTAAAGTGCTCTGATAAATTTCTGCCATTATCTTTTATGGAAATATTAGGGCTTCTGTTCTTTGGTTTGGCTATTTGGAGTGTCTCTAGGAAGAGATTTTGGGCAACTTGGGACATTGTGCTTTAAAAAACAAAACACTATATTTACATTTAATAACTATTTGGCTCTTACCTGACTGAAATACTCTTAAAAACCATGAATTCTTATAGAGGAAAAAAGAGCTACAAACTGTGACTTTCTGAATTTAATAACTGATAACTGTAGAAAATGACAGAAATGTCTATTTTTAGAACTTTAGTAAGACAGAATATTTATCTTACAGTACCCAAGAAAGAAACAGGAAGAGTTACAAAACATCCATCTAGACAGGAAAATTTTTTAAAAATCTAAACTGAGCTTAGGCTAGTTTTGCATATATTTTGAAGATTGGGCTATATACAACCCAATGTGAGTTATCATGGGGCAGCTTAAAATGAAGGAGTGACTTACATCATAGAAAACATGTATGATATTGACCTTAACTTTTTACCAGCAACGAATTGCTGTTGATTCTGATAGTTCCATTATTTGAAATGATTCTGTACCTGCTAGGAATTCTGAAACATATTATTTGCAAAAAGCTATCAAACAAAAACATGACCATAAGCAAAAGAAATTCAAGAAAACTTTATGTATCAATAAAAGCAAATAAAAATAAAATTTCATTTTCCCACAGGAAGTGGAATCAAGACTACATCTCTCATAATGGCATTACCAAGATTGAGGAAAACTTGAAATATTAGTAGTTGCTATACTGACGCTTCTCTCATAAGAAGGGAATAATAGAATCTTGGAGAAATTGTATTTATGGTTGTTGTATTCTTACATAGGATTCTTGGTCAACAGGTTTTTTTTTTTTTATCAACACCTCGATGCTATCCTACTGCCTTCTTGCCTGTTTTTTTATGATAAGAAGTAAGCTATTAATCTTATTAAAGTTCCCCTATATATGAATTGCTTTTCTTTTGCTGCTTTTGAGATTTTTTCTCCTTGTCTTTATTTTTGAATACTTTGTCTAGGATGGGCTAGGTGTGAATTTATTCTGCTTAGAGAATTGGTGAACTTCTTGGATGTGTTTTTCATACATTTTGAAAATTTAGCCCATCATTTCTTCAGAATTTTTCCTATGCCTTTCCTAGCTTTGTTCATTTTCTTCATTTTTTTTTCTGTTCTTAAGACTGAATAATGTCTGTTGCCTATATGCAAGCCTAATGATAAATCAAAAAGCTAGAATAGACTTACTACACATAATTATAGACTCATACTTTGGTAAATTCCTCTAATTAAGATGATGCTGTCTGGAATTTCCTTTATTTTAATATACCAAATGGTAGCTTGTTGCTTAATATGAAGTTATATTTTATTCATAGTTTTTTAGAAACACAAAGTTATCATTGTCTTAATTCTTTTCTTCCTTTTACAGTCCCACTATATTAGTACTGGTCCAGAGTTTAATCGTGTTCTCTTCAATTTGGGAGGTCAGAGTCCATTGATTATATATTATCTTAAAATGCATGAGCTGGCTGGTATTTCCAAAGCCCCTAAGCAAACCAAGATTAAACTCACTGAGATATTCCGGGAACCATATCCTTTTTAAAGCTTTGCTTTAATATGATTTGTTTCCAAAATAATATTCAGAACTGAATGTCTCAATTGAAAAAAAAATTGAATTCATGTTTTACCAATGCTTCTATTTAGTTTTAATATTTAGTTATGCTTTATATTATATATTTAGTATGTAATATGTTTGGCTATTATCTTTCGTAGTATGCTTGGCTAAACTATTTTCTTTTTTAGATCTAAGGCTATAATTTTGTAATAAACTAAAACAAACATAAAACCAAAGAACTTTTAAAACTGGTATACTTGGTGCTGTGATAAAAAGCTATCTTTGCAGCTTCACTGTTCAGTGATTGGTTTCAAACATACACAATTATGAGACATGGGCTTCTAGCCTTCTCCAAAGAGAGTTTTAGGCATGTTTTAACTGTGGAATTCCTTGTTCAAATGAAAATTTGTCTGAACATGTTTTACACATAAAAAAATTATTTTTATGTGTAAACTAAAAAATAAATAAAGTCGGAGCTCTTTGGTTGAGGCAGGGGCATGGCCCAGAGTTCCAATTTTTACAGTCTTGTCCATCTTCAGTAGAAGGTTTCTTGGCACAGCCCTCATTAAGGACTCAGATGAACCCCAAAGGGATTAGAACACTAACCACTAAATTGGAGTACAGGCTGCCAAGGCAGCACCTGTCTGGTCTGGTCCACTACGGAGGCTGCGCAGCCTCAAGACCCAGAGCTTACCCCACCAATAGAGCCATGCCATGCACCCAACTGAGCACCCACAAGTTCAATGGGGCAACAGTGGCAGCTACCCCATGCCACAGCCTCCCAGCCCTGGAGCTTCCTGCTCCTCCTTACAGCAGCTCAAGAAGCAGTCTTACATGTGTCTAAAAATGGCACATCCAAGGGCTACTGCATGCTTTATAACCCTCATTGGATAACTTTTCTAAGTACCCTAGAAAATGCAGCTTCCATTAGTTTGATGAGTCTGACTTCCACACCACTATGCAGCCCTTCTGATATTCCTCCTGTTGGCATAAAAAAACAAAGTAGATGTGGTGCAATGGGGAAGCTGCCATTTTCCCAAAATAGCCAGAATTGCACAGAAAGGAGGTGCTGAAGCAATGTTAGTTGTCAAAAGTGTCCTATTTCCTCCCTCAGGTAACTGATCTGAATTTCCTCATGCGAAAGTACTGATTGCTTTTATAAGCCAGAAAGTCTGTAAAGATATGAAGCAGACTCTAGGAAATAACATTAATGTGAAAATGTATTCTCCATCGTGGCCTTTGATCATACTATGGTGGTCATTATTGTAATTGCTGTGTTCACTGTGGCGTTAGTTAGATAATGGAGTGGACTAGTTGAATTGGAAAACTTGAAAGCAGTGACAATTGAAGATAGAGAAATGAGAAAAAAGATGGAAGAATATCTTTTAGTCCTCTTACAGTTTTAATCTTTGTGGTCACCTGCTCTTGTTATGATGGTCTTTAATTCTTCTGCAAATGATTGGTTTATGTTATGATAGCAATTTTCTGCATAGCATCAGCAATGAGTATGTACAACTGTCTTGTCTGCACTAATTCATAAGATACCATATAGGCAGGTTTTTTGGTGAGGGAAGAAGATGGCACTGTAGGACTAACTCAGGATTGCAGCTCCCAGTGAAAGCACAGAGGGTGAGTGGATGCTGCATTTCCAGATGCATCTTTATTGCCCACAGACCAGGAGATTTTCAGGTGTAGGAGCTCCACGGGCCGCCAGCACAGCTGTTTGGGCTGGTATGGCTGTTTGGGCTGGGGCCGCAGTGCAGTGGCACTTCGTACAAAATACACTGGTTGGGTTGCCCTGTTAAACTGGCAATTGGATATTTCAGAAGGCAGATTAGCACATTCATCTGATTAAAGAAGACTTGAAGAGAAAGGCAGGCCAGGAGATTCCTGGGCCACAACGTTGTTTCAGCCGGCGCAGTGGGTCGCTGCATGGGAAATCACACAGATCCTGGCACCTTTCACCTGGCAACTGGAACGTCTCGGAGAGAGTCAACCATTCAACTTAAAAAAAAAGGGGCTCTGAGGCAGGGAGCCAGGTGATCAGGCTCGGCGGGTCCCACCCCCACAAAAACAAACAAAACAGCAATTGGAAACACTCTGGGTTAAGAGGTTTACAGCAAGCATAGCTGAACCCAGGATGATGCAGCTCAGTAGAGGAGGGGCATCTGCCATTACTGAGGCACTCAACCCCTACAGAGGTACTCTACCATTGCTGACGCAGCCTGCCATTGCCGAGGCACCCCACCATTGCCAAGGCAACCCGCCATAACAGAGAGAGTCTGCCACTACAGAGGCGGGCCACCATCACCACAGCAGTTCTAACCACACCCATTTAAACAGGACAACAGGACACATGGCAGCAGGGCAGAGCCCACAAAAGCAGGGCAGAGCCCACGGCAGTAGGGCAGAGCCCACGACAGCAGGGTGGAGCCCACGGCAACAGGGCAAAGCCCACAGCAGCTCACCATAGCCACTACAGGCAGGCAGTGATTAGACTGCCTCCTTGCTGGGCAGGACAGTGCAACGGTCACTCATAAATAAAGCCCTAATTCCCCGGGACAGAGCACCTGAGGAAAAAAAGGGGCTCTATGAGTTCTGCTGCAGCAGACTTAAATGTACCTGCCTAGCAGCCCCGAATGAACAACGGAGCTCACAGCTCAGCACTTGAGCTCCTATAAAGTAAAGACTGTCTCTTCATTTATAAAGTACAGTCTCCTCAAGCAGCTCCCTCACCCCGTAGATCCAAAGAGTCACCTCACAAAGGACTGATCAGACTGACATTTGGTGGGCATCATTCATGGACAAAGATAGCGGAAGAAGAAATGGGTACCAACCCTCACGGTTCCACAGCTGTTACAGGTGTACCCCGGAAAAGCAAGGCCTGGAGTGGTCCTCAGCAGTCCTAAGGCAGAAGGGCCAGACTGTTAGAAAAAAAACTAAGAAACAGAAATCCTTCATCATCAACAATCTGGATGTCCACTCAGAGACACAATCAAAAATTCAGCAACTACTCAGACGACAGGTGGATAAATCCACAAAGATGGGAAGAAACAAGGACAAAAAAAGGAAAACACCTGAAACCAGACAACCTCGTCTCCTACAAGGGACCACAACTCCTCACTAGCAAAGGAACAAAGCTGGACAGAGAATGAGTGTGATGAAACGACAGAATCAGACTTCAGAAGGTGGGTAATGAGAAACTTCTGTGAGCTAAAACAACATGTTCTAACTCAATGCGAAGAAACTAAGAACCTTGAAAAAAGATTTGAGGAAATGATAACAAGAATGGACAACTTAGAGAGGAATATGAGTGAATTGAAGGAGCTGAAAAACACAACACAAGAACTTCGCGAAGCATGCACAAGTTTCAGCAGCCAAATTGACCAAGCAGAAGAAAGGATATCAGAAGTCAAAGATCAACTCAATGAAATCAAATGAGAAGCCAGGATTAGAGAAAAAAAACACAAAAAAGAATGAACAAAGTCTCCAAGAACTGTGGGACTATGTGAAGAGACCTAATCTACGTTTGATAGGTGTACCTGAATGTGATGAAGAGAATGAATCCAAGCTTGAAAATACTCTTCAGGATATTATCCGGGAAAATTTCCCCAACCTAGGAAGGCAGGCCTATATTCAAGTCCAGGAAATACAGAGAACACCACGAAGATATTCCGCAAGAAGCACAACCACAAGGCACATAATCGTCAGATTCATCAAGGTCGAAATGAAGGTGAAAATGCTAAGGGCAGCCAGAGAGAAAGGTCGGGTCACCCACAAAGGGAAGCCCATTAGACTCACAGCAGATCTCTGGGCAGAAACCCTACAAGCCAGAAGAGAGTGGGGGCCAATATTCAACATCCTTAAAGAAAAGAACTTTCAACCCAGAATTTCATATCCAGCCAAACTGAGTTTTATAAGTGAAGAAAAAATAAAATCCTTTGTGAACAAGCAAGTACTCAGAGATTTTTGTCACCACCAGGCCTGCTTTACAAGAGCTCCTGAAAGAGGCACTACACATAGACAGGAACAACCAGTACCAGCCACTCCAAAAACATACTGAATGCTAAAGAGCATCAACAAAATGAAGAATCTGCATCAACGAATGGGCAAAACAGTCAGCTAGCATCAAAATGGCAGTATCAAATTTACACATAACAATATTAACCCTAAATGTAAATGGGCTAAATGCACCAATCAAAAGACTCAGACTGGCAAATTGGATAAAAAGCCAAAACCCATCTGTGTACTGTATCCAGGAAACACATCTCACATGCAAGGATACACAAGGCTCAAAATAAAGGGATGGAGGAAGATTTACCGAGCAAATGGAGAGCAAAAGAAAGCAGGAGCTGCAATTCTCATCTCTGATAAAATAGACTTTAAAGCAACAAAGATCAAAAGAGACAAAGAAGGACATTACATAATGGTAAAAAAATCGATACAACAAGAAGAGCTAACGATCCTAAATATATATGGACCCAATACAGGAGCACCCAGATAGATAAGGCAAGTTCTTAATGACTTACAAAGAGATTTAGACTCCCACACAATAATAGTGGGAGACTTTAACACTCCACTGTCAATATTAGACAGATAGACCAGACAAAAAATTAACAAGGATATCCAGGACTTGAACTCAGACCTGGAATAAGCAAACCTGATAGACATTTACAGAACTCTCCACCCCAAATCCACAGAACATACATTCTTCTCAGCACCACATCACACCTACTCTAAAATTGACCACATAATTGGAAGGAAATCACTCCTCAGCAAATGCAAAACAACTGAAATCATAACAAACAGTCTCTTAGACCATAGTGCAATCAAGTTAGAACTCAGAATTCAGAAACCAACCCAGAACTGCACAGCTTCATGGAAACTGAACAACTAGCTCTTGAATTTTGACTGGATAAACAATAAATGAAGGCAGAAATAAAGAAGTTCTTTGAAACCAACGAGAACAAAGACACAACATACCAGAATCTCTGGGACACATTTAAAGCAGTCTCCTGAGGAAAATATATAGCAATAAGTGCCCACATGAGAAGAGTGGAGAGATCCAAAATTGACACCATATCATCAAAATTGAAAGAGCTGGAGGAGCAAGATCAAGAAAACTCAACACCTAGCAGAAGACAAGAAATAACTAAGATCAGAGCAGAACTGAAAGAGACAGAGACACGAAAAACCCTTCAAAAAATCAATAAATCCAGGAGCTGGTTTTTTGAAAAGATCAACCAAATAGACAGACCACTAGCCAGATTGATAAAAAAAGAAAAGAGAGAATAACCGAATAGATGCAATAAAAAATGATAAAGGGGAAATCACCACAGATTCCACAGAAATTCAAACCGTCATCAGAAAATATTACAAACAACTCTATGCACATAAACTAGTAAACCTGGGAGAAACGGATAAATTCCTGGACTCCTGTGACCTCCCAAGCCTAAACCAGGAGGAAGCCAAAACTATTAACAGACCAATAACAAGGTCTGAAGTTGAGGGAGAAATTAAGAGCCTACCACACAAGAAAAGCCCAGTTCCAGATCAGTTCACAGCTGAATTCTACCAGACACACAAAGAGGAGCTGGTACCATTCCTTCTGAAACTATTCCAAATAATCCAAAAAGAGGGAATCCTTCTCAAATCATTTTATGAGACCAACATCATCCGGATACCAAAACCCAGCAGAGACTCAACAAGAAAAGAAAACTTCAGGCCAATATCCATGATGAACATAGATGCAAAAATCTTCAATAAAATACTGGCAAGCTGATTGCAACATCACATCAAAAAGCTTATCTACCATGATCAAGTAGGATTCATCCCAGGGATGCAAGGCTGGTTCAACATACACAACTCTATAAACGTAATTCACCACATAAACAGAACAAAAAACAAAAACCACATAATTATCTCAATTGATGCAGAGAAGGCCTTTGACAAAATTCAATAGCCCTTTATGCTAAAAACCCTCAATAAATTCGGTATTGATAGAATGTATCTCTAAATAATAAAAGCTGTTTATGACAAACCAACAGCCAATATCATACTGAATGGGCAAAAACTGGAAGCATTCCCTTTGAAATCTGGCACTACACAAGGATGCCCTCTCTCACCACTCCTATTCAATATAGTACTGGAAGTTCTAGCCAGAGCAATCAGGCAAGAAAAAGAAGTAAAGGGTATTCAAATAGCAAAGGAGGAAGCCAAATTGTCTCTATTTGCAGATGACATGATAGTATATCTAGAAGACCCCATCGTCTCAGCCCAAAAACTCCTGAAACTGATAAGCAACTTCAGCAAAGTCTCAGGATATAAAATCAATGTGCAAAAATCACAAGCATTGCTATACACCAATAACAGACTTAAAGAGAGCCAAACCAAGAATGAACTGCCATTCACAATTGCTACAAAGAGAATAAAATACCTAGGAATACAACTAACAAGAAACATAAGGGACCTCTTCAAGGAGAACTACAAACCACTGCTCAACAAAAGAAGAGAGGACACAAATAGATGGAGAAACATTCCATGTTCATGGTTAGGAAGAATCAATATAGTGAAAATGGCCATACTGCCCAAAGTAATTTACAGACTCAACACTATCCCCATCAAGGTACCATTGACTTTCTTCACAGAACTGGAAAAAACCCACCTTGAACTTCATATGGAAGCAAAAGAGAGCCCGCATAGCCAAGTCAATTCTAAGCAAAAAGAATACAGCAGGAGGCATCATACTATCAGATTTCAAACTATACTACAAGGCTACATTATCAAAACAGCATGGTACTGGTACCAAAACAGAAATATAGACCAATGGAACAGAACAGAGGCATCAGAGGCAACACAACATATCTACAACCATACAGTCTTTGGTAAACATGACAAAAACAAGCAATGAGGAAAGATTCCCTGTATAATAAATGGTGTTTGGAAAACTGGCTAGCCATGTGCAGAAAGCAGAAACTCTACCGCTTCCTGACACCTTACACTAAAATTAACTCCAGATGGATTAAAGACTTAAACATAAGACCGAACACCATAAAAACCCGAGAAGGAAATCTAGGCAAAACCATTCAGGACATAGGAGTAGGCAAGGACTTCATGAACAAAACACCAAAAGCATTGGCAACAAAAGCCATAATAGACAAATGGGTCCTAATCAAACTCCACAGCTTCTGCACGGCAAAAGATACAGTCACTAGAGTGAATCAGCAACCAAGAGAATGGGAAACAATTTTTGCAATTTACCCATCTGACAAAGGGCTGATATCCTGAATTTACAAAGAACTCAAACAGATTTACAAGAAAAAAACCAACAAGCCCATTCAAAAATGGGCAAAGGATATGAACAAACACTTTACAAAAGAAGACATACATGAGGCCAACAATCATATGAAAAAATGCTCATCATCACTGGTCATCAGAGAAATGCAAATCAAAACTACATTGAGAAAGCATCTCATGCCAGTTAGAATGGCAATCATTAAAAAATCTGGAGACAGATGCTGGAGAGGATGTGGAGAAATAGGAACACTTTTACACTGCTGGTGGGAGTGTAAATTAGTTCAACCATTGTGGAAGATAGTGTGGCAATTCCTCAAGGACCTAGAAATAGAAATTCCATTTGACCCAGCTATCCCATTACTGGGTATATATCCAAGGGACTATAAATCATTCTACTATAAGGACACATGCACATGAATGTTCATTGCAGCACTGTTTACAATAGCAAAGACCTGGAACCAACCCAAATGCACATCGATAGACTGGACTGGGAAAATGTGGCACATATACACCATGGAATATTATACAGCAATCAAAAACGATGAGTTCGTTTCGTTTGTAGGGACATGGATGAATGTGGAGAACATCATTCTCAGCAAACTGACACAAGAACAGAAAATGAAATACTGCATATTCTCACTCATAGGTGCGTGATGAACAATGAGAACCCATGGACACAGGGAGGGGAGCACTACACACTGGGGTCTATTGGCAGGAATAGGGGAAGGACAGCGTGGAGGGGAGCTGGGGAGGGATAGCATAGGGAGAAATGCCAAATGTGGGTGAAGGGGAGGAAGACAGCAGGTCACACTGCCACATGTGTACCTATGCAACTATCTTGTATGTTCTGCACATGTACCCCAAAACCTAAAATGCAATTTAAAAAAAAGATACCATATAGGCAATGCACAATTGTGTGTTGTGGCAAAAGCATGGAAGTGAGACTTATTTTTCTCTCTGGAGTACGCAAAATGATAGCTATTGTTTGGGCTGTATTTCGAAATGAAGACAGGTGGGCTTGGATTTTACAGGATATCGATATCTTGAAGATTGCTTTCTGTCTGAATTTGATTAAAACACTGAAATCGCCCAACTTCAAGTCATGCATGATACTTCTAGGCCTTCTCCTCTTCTATAATGTATTTATTGTTGTAACACCATTCATCACTAAGAATGGTGAGAGTATCATTGTTGAACTTGCAGCTGGACATTTTGGAAATAATGGAAAATTGCCAGTAGTCAACAGAGTACCAAAGCTGATCTATTTCTCAGTAATGAATGTGTGCCTCATGCCTTTTTCAATGTTGGGTTTTAGAGACAATCCTGTACCAGGCCTGTTGAATGGGTACTGTAGAAGAGTTGATGTTCAGACTGGTTCTTTATATATATAGTATGTTATTATGCTAGTTGCTAATGCTATTAGCATGATACTTACATTTGTTGTTCTGGTGCTGATGAAAAAGGGGCAACCTGGTCTCCTCTATTTAGTACTTTGCACTCTTATTACTGCCTCAGTTGTTGCATGGAGCATTTTAATTATTTATGATGTAACTAAGTAGCAGCCTCGTTGGCATAGCAAGACCCGTCTCAAAGAAATATAAATATATATGTAATATAATATAAAATAAATAACTTTATACATTTCCTGGAAGAAAGGTACTGTAAAGTCAAAAGATCTGAATCAAATTACTCAACCTTTTGGACTTTGATTCTCTACTGTAATACTCATATGTGAGATTACTGAATTTTCAGTTAAAAAATTATTAACAGGATAATATATAGGCCATATTATAGTGAAGATCATAGCCTATGTATTAAAAAACAGTGTTCATTTGGAGAAAAACTATTTTGAAAACTAAATTTTTATAGTAATCCTCTATTACTTGCAATTAAGGAGCAACCAAACAAAGTAGAATATTTAATGTATACATTGTAGAATGACTGAATCAAGCTAATTAACATATTCATCACCTTAAACACTTATAATTTATCACTCCTAACTGAAATTTTGTACTCTTTAACCAAAACCTCACCATTCCTTAACCCCACAGGTAATATTTCTATTGATAAGGAGTGATTTGCCAAAATCACAAAAGGGAGGATGACATTATTTTCCATGTGTAAGGATTCACATTTAAACACTGAGTAGATTGGAGTATGTATGGAGAGGACTGGAGGGAGTCAATGAAATTTCATATCACGGAAGTGCTTGGGTCTTCTGACATGATCTTAAATGTATATTTTTAAGGATAATAAACTATTAGTTAATCTATACTAATTCATTAGTGAAATTTTTAATATAATTTTTAAATGATCTTTGGAGGTTTTTTACACTTGATTACTTAATATTTGAATTATGAGTAAAACAGAAGACAAACTTTGATTTATAGGATTTAGAGTTGAATGCATGGTGTATCTTTAAACTGCAGACTCTTGGATAAAATATATTTAGAGCTCCTCATTCTCCCTTCATACTTTGTCTGTATTTTTATAAGCTACCTCAAGCCCTTTATGTGTTGAGACTAAAAAATCATACCCACAAATTTAATAATTTTTTAATATGCAAAATGCTAATTATTTTAAAAATTGAAAACTCAGAGCCAAAATGTTGCTGTAGTCTGTGTGGTCTTGTTAAAAAGAAGCCCTATCTGTATTTCTAACATGAGTTTTAAACGTTCATATTTTGTTGCAGTTTAGAAAAATCTGAACTCAATGCAGTGTCATAATGAGTACATTATGTTACTATTAACACATGCTCCCACTATCACACATGCATATACAGACTTTTTAAACATGTAAATGGTGCCCAGGAATGAATTGTTTAAACCCAGCTATTGAAAATAATGTGGATATAGCAGCATTTATACTAGCATAAAAGTAAAACCTATACAAAGAAATAATCTATTATGAATCATCTGTGATGTGGGAGAAGAAAATTGTCAACAGTGAAAAAAACAAAGAATTCTGAGACTCCAGAAGCATCACCCACTCTGTATTCTTTTTACCATTATTTATAATGATTTTTAATAATCTTCATCACATGAACACACATAGATATTTTTCTCATTAACCAATATATGAATAGCAATTTGTAAGTTATTACTAAAGTGACTATCAATTGTATTTTTTACTTCAAGTCAATGACTACTTAATTAATATATGGTAAGAACCTGTTAATACAGTCACATTTTTAAAAGGATTAATTAGCTGATAGACAAATATCTGAAAAAACAGCTAATCCAGAACCCTCCCATCTAGTAATTTTTCCAATATATACAAGGTAAAACATCTTTTTCCTCAGTCCTTCTGAAATACTCTGGGTGAAGTGAATAGACAAGCCTATACTACAAGAAAGTTTATTCCATTATTTATGATAACTTACCAAAAATTTAACCCTTATTTTCCTTCAAAAATTGGGTATCAATGTCATAAAGTTATCTGTTAATGAGATTTTTCAGATAATGAAAGCAGGTGTTAACTTGATGAAATGTGAGATATTTTAAAAATACATTTTCATTCAAAACATATAGGCCTAAAAGTCCTGTGGTACCATAGAGATAAAAGATTTCCTCTGCCAAAATATGATGGAGAATTGACATTTCCTCTAATTGCCTGCAAAGAGGAAAAATGCAGACACAGTGATCCCAAACAGGAGAAAGAAGAGGGAAGATAAAGATAAGAGAGGAAACATCAAACCCTTGATTCCATAGAATAGGACTCTTCAGCAGTGTAGGAAATAATTGTAATATAATTTGAGCCGAAATTTAAGCCTCTTCTCCATTCATGTTAAGCGGATGAATTGGACAAAATAAATTTCAAGTCCCTAAGGTTTTGTTGGAGGAATTTGACCTTTCACACATCAGTGGCTGAATTGGCAACTATTTCAATTTTTCCCTGAAATGATGATGTTCTCATTTAGTCAGCTCACCATAGAACCAAGTTCTTCTGAAGCTACCCTAAGAGAAAGAATGCTTAGACACTGTTTTTGCCTTTGTCTGCTGTTGACTCCCCTAAAAGACTACCAGAATTACCTGTTGACCAAGCAAAGCTAGGTTTCATACACTGATTGCAGTAAGAACACCAATGTAACAGAGCTTTAGGAATGTCTCAAAACCGAGAAATTCAAGGATGATATTTATGGGGTTTTAAGGCCTGAGGTAGGTGACTTTGAAGCAGGCTTTGCAAGATAGGGAACTGCTTGAGATTGGGCAGAGGTTATGATATTATAATTTTGGATTGGAGGGACCAGTGGAGCAAGGGTCATGAAGTGAGCTATGAGGAGCAAGCTATTTTAGTTTTTCACAGTCTTATCTTCAGGGAAACATACATTCTGGAGCCAGTAACTAAGTTATTTTTGCTTACTCTCAATATTTTTAAACATAGAGACAAAAAATTATGCATAACACAGGAACAGGAAAATACATATGGTAGATGCTCTGAAGGCTAAGCAAAGAAAAATAAAGGACATTCTTCAGCTGCTGGATGGGACAATATTGATGGCATAAGGCCCTTGGTTACCAATACCCTGTAAGACTTTCCTCAGCTGATAATAGTGGACTTACTCAAGGTAAGTCCTATGGCAGATTATATTTTTCAAGGGGCCATAACAATATTGCCATTACACATGCTTTTGTTACAGTGTGAATCATAACAATTTTCGCATCAAGAGATAGCTCCAATGTTCACTGCCCTTGAATTTGGACTGTCTTCTGTAACTTCCCTAACAATTGGAGTGTGACTATAAAGTCATAAGACTCCTGGGGCCAGCTAATAAATGTCTTCACAGCTTCTGCCTGTTTCACTCTTCCTCTTGGGATGCTTGGTTTTGGAACTAGCTGCTATGTTAGTAGGAAGTTCAGACCATGTGGAGAGTCCATGTTCCAGTTAGCAGTCACAGCTGAGGATGAGGCAATGCAACTATCAGCCCCAGACACATAAGTGAGAAAATCTTTGAGATGATTCCAGTCCCAGCCAACAACTGACCTCAACTATATGATAGACTTTATCTTAGGATAGCCTAGCTGAGCCCAGTCAACACCCAGAATTACAGAGATAATAATACAAATTAGAGTTGTTTTATGTCTCTAAGTTTGAGGTTGTTTGTTATATAACAATAGACAACTAGATAATATTCCTTTCCCAAGCTAGCCCACGTCTACTAACTAAAGTGATACGTAAAGATCTGGCCCATCAGCTCCAATTCAGAACAATTCTGAAGGGTCATCTGAGCTTCAGACCTCCCTAAAGGGTCAGCTGAGAATTCCACTGAGACTGTTATCACAGTTCAACTCTTCTGTCTGCTTAATGTTACTTTATTCCCTTGAATCCACAGGTGTTGACCCAAGAGCACTCTAATAAGCCTACTATATGCTGATCTCCATCTCTAAGTCCACTTTCCCGAAAACCCAACTTGGGACATTGTGTTACTTTCAGTTCTCACCATTACAGAGAAAACATTCCATGGATTGCTTATACTTTTCTTCTAGATCCCCAGTAGTTGATTAGATGGAAGCAGATTTTTAAAAGTATATGGGAATTACATGTTTTAGAAAAAAAATCAACATTGTCCTATGGTAAGATCTCATTTTCTGTCATGACTTGGAGTTGCCCACTCCAGAATTTGAGTGGAATTGACCATATCTTCTTTCCATATTTTCCAGGAAAGACTTTAACAGGATCTAAAGGAGTGGCTAAGTACTGAATTAAACTAACAATTCCATAGCTAGTAGTTATTTTGCATTGTTTGTAGGACATTTAAAACTCAAAATATTTTATTTGTATAGAACCACAGTGTATAATCACACACTGTGACTATGTACTTCTTATTTCTCTAGTACATGAATTCAAATAATTGCAAAAAAGGGTAACAAGAAAAATATGACCTACACAATAGATAGTTTCTATAGAAGAGAATGAGAAAATTTCATTGATTATAGAGATGGAACCTCAGCATATGGTTGAGTAGGTTATGCACTAGCCAGTGTGGTCCCTCTAAGAACGGTGTAGCAGGTACGTGCTCAGTGGTACATGGTGGCCTTAACAAAATGCTTCTAAGGGGGAATGTGATGCACTTGGAGAAACCTGTTTCATGCAGTGGATTAGGATGAGTCTATTAGAAGCCTTTCCTTTGTACCTATTCACTCCCATTTATCTCTACCTTTGGCCCTTGTCAGGGCTTTCTCTTCCGGCCTCACTTCTCATTTTGGATTCTATACCTATTTTCTACTCTAGTTTCCAGATACTTCAAATCCTGCTTATCGAGTGCCTGATTCTGCCCTATTACCTGACTATGCCTTTGTTACTGGATTCTGGATTCCAAACTGTTTCCTGTGGCTCATGTAACAAACATTTACAGAAAATCTACCACGTTTTGGGTAATGTGCTATGTGCTAAGAACATGACTATAATCCCTGCCTTCGGATAACTTGTTGACAAATATTTTACCTCATGCACAAGTTTTTCAGCTCTACCCAAACACAACCTTTTTCTAGCTCTCCTCCCATGCTTGCCTGAGCAATTTCCGTTCTTCCTCTCTCCTAAATATTTGTAAGCTGCATCTCAGTGGCCTTTAAAAAAAGATAACACTTACAAAGATCTCAGGAAATGCATTTATTTCCCTTGCTCAGAAATGAGCAGCAATCTACCAAAAAAATGGGAATAATTTTTTTTTTTTTTTGCTTGATCTAGAAGCATCAGGGGCAACATTTAAAACATAAATGAAGCACTTACAGTGTTGAACAAGGGTATCACGAACAGAAACTTAGTCTGGAAGAAAATGGAAAGAGGGTTCATTAGGTTGCTCTTCTCCATAGAACTGGCATCAAAGGGGAGTCTGCTTCCTTGCTGTAATTCCATGCTATTATATTTATACAAATCCAGTAACAAATGATCTGGGGAAAATTTAACAGAAGGGTGAGGCAGAGAGAGAAGGGGGTAGAATGGGAATACTAGAGGCAAAGAAGCAGGCCAAACGCATGGAAATGCACTGGGGCAAAGCAGCACTGCCTAGTGTCAATTTTGATAACCACCAGGTGTTACAGTGAGGGGCCAGCTCACTTTGTCTTTAGCTCGCATATCTCAGAAAGGGCTGTTAGGAAAGGAAAAGTCATATTTACCCTGGAGCAAATAAGAGAGAAGCTGTCCTAGTTTTAGGAATTATAAAAGTCAAATGGTGAAGGAAGACCCACCAAGGTCAAAAATTCAACTATTGAAAAGGCAAATCACAGTACCCTCATAGGGATTCTGAATCTGTTGTTTAAAGAGATTAATGATTTGTTCATACTTTTAAACTCAGTTTTGTAGAGCTGGCCCATAAAAGACAGTTTAAACTATTTGCTTTCCCTCATTATTCTTAAAACCGTGGCAGCAACTGCAAGAAAAACAGTGTTTAATAGATCAAGAATTAGTATGTGACCCAGTCAATGATATTTTTACAAACATTACCTAAAATGCAATATAATTTAGAGTGAAACTTAAAGAAATACAAGTATATGCACACAGATATTTATGATGTTTGTCATCATTCTAGACCTGCACTGTCCAGTAGGGTAGCCACTAGCCACGTGTGATTATTTAAATTGACAAAATTAAGTATAAGTAGAAATTCAGTTAATCCAATGCACTTGCCACATTTTAAGTGCTCATTTACCATATGTGACTATTGGAAAATGCAAATATCAAACATTTCAATTGTCACAGAAAGTACTTTGAACAACAAACACTGCCTTGAGTAAGAAGAAAAGTTTAATTTATTTTATAGAACTTGATATGCCACCTGGGGATATCAGACAGCCAACACACACAGAACTTTATTTTACTTTGTCATGTGTAGCCTTCTAATTTTAGAAGTTTCAGGGCTTAGAAGTTTACATATACCTTATTGATTCATCCAACCAAGTTACCAAGAAAGTTAATTTCCCATCTATGTTCTTAAATTTTCCCTGTCATTGGTTAGATTTTTTTCCCATTTTATTCTAGTTTAGAGTTATTTTAGTTTTTTGATCATTTTTGCTTACAGAAAAATTACTTTAAGCAACATGCAGGCTTTGGTCCATACACATGGCTTCAACTCAAAGAAAAAAGCTTGCCATTCTCTGTATAAGCCCATAGATCAATAGAGGTCAAAGACTATCAGTAACCTACGTCTGTATAAAAGTCTGTGATTGCCTTTTTACAGTTAGAATATTTCTGATCAGTCAATCTCTTTACTTAATTCCCTTTGATGCTACCTTATATCAATTACCTAAAATAACCTAATAACTCCCCTATTTGGCTCCCAGGGATTCCATTAAAAAAACAAATTCCAGATTTTTAAAAATCCATTTAAAACTTATGTAATAGAGTATAAGCATAATGGCATAGTAAAATAAAGGGTATATCCAGCATTTAAATTTTGCTTTTAAATAAGAGAAAGACATTTTATTTTATTTTTATACTTGAAGTTATTCTAAACTTTGATGAGTAAATTGCTAATTCATTCCTTTTATAAACTCTACCAATTAAGAGTAGAGGATGAGTTTGAAAATGAAATGAAAATAATAATTTTTATAAGAACTAGATAAACAAAGGGGCTTTGTTTCACATGAATGAGTATTATAAGTATTGTCAGCCACCTTGAGCCAGAGACAATTAAAAAACTGTTGATATCTGGCTATTTTTTTCTGACAAACTCAGTTTTAGTTCTAGTTGGAGATTTTCTTTATTTTTTTATTGCATTTTAGGTTTTGGGGTACATGTGCAGAACATGCAAGATAGTTGCATAGGTACACACATGGCAGTGTGTTTTGCTGCCTTCCTCCCCTTCACCCCCATTTGGCATTTCTCCCCATGCTATCCCTCTGCAGCTCTCCCTCTGCTGTCCCTCCCCTATTCCCCACTATAGATCCCAGTGTATAGTGCTCCCTTCCCTGTGTCCCTGTGTTCTCATTGTTCATCACCCGCCTATGAGTGAGAATATGCGGTGTTTCATTTTCTGTTCTTGTGTCAGTTTGCTGAGAATGATGTTCTCCAGATTCATCCATGTCCCTACAAAGGACATGAACTCATCGTTTTTGATTGCTGCATAATATTCCATGGTGTATATGTGCCACATTTTCCCAGTCCAGTCTATCATCGATGTGCATTTGGGTTGGTTCCAGGTCTTTGCTATTGTAAACAGTGCTGC